AACCACCAGGTAGCCATGTGACAGTGAAGTTTTCTTCTGTGTTATTAAGATGAGCAATGTTCAGCAACAAATTACAAGCAGAGGGCTATATTCTTCCTTTCCCATTCCTTGCATTCGCTGTATGTCACAGCATTCCACAAGCTGCCAGTTACACCAAAAAAATAAAAATTACCATATTTTGATATTCCAATTCCCATCAATGGTAAGTATGGGAATTAATATCTATTTTAATTCAGATGAATTCCAAGTTTAATGGCAGCCTACAGTTACAGAGAACCTCCTCAAAGTATGATTTTGTAATCATTAGTTTACTGGCCTTTGGGGATAGCAACAGTAGCATTTTGGGCCAGGAGAGTTGCAAGACAAAATAAATAAAATGTGGCCAGTCTTGGTGAATTGCGGACTATTTCTTCTGGTCGAATTCTCAAGGACTCAAAGCAACAACTGATCAATGCCAAATTAGTTGCAGAAGTTTGTTATCTATCTGACAGTCAAGTAAAATGAGTAGGGATTACATGATTGCATGCAAATTTTGAAGAAGCTCTTTGTAGCTTATTTTTTATATTTTAAAACTGTTAAACACAATGGGGTTTTTTGGAAAAGCTAAATTAATCTGCAGAATGTAATCACATACAGGCTAGAAGTTCACAGGAGACTAATTACAGCATTGGGTACAAAACCCCAACTATAAGTGTAAAAAACCCCTCAGAAATTCAATTCAATGGCCTGTTGAACTAGTGCCCACGTGGGTTTTAACAATGATCCAGAAGTCAGAAAAAAACACCTCTGCATTTGCAATTCACAGCATCCACCACAATTATGATTTTTTTACTCTCAAAACGTGGCCAAAGGCTATTTCCAACAGAGAAATGAACAGCAAAAAGTCTTGCTGCAAATTGTGAGGACAAGCGCAGACAACGTCGATGACGGCCGTCGTGGTGTTGTTCCTCAGGGTCTGCAGTGAGACCCGTGGTACAGGCCCTACATGCGAGAAGTCAGGCTCTTCGCAGGGAAAGCCCGCTGCCACCACCTCACTGCTGAAATGGGCCCAATTCACCGCTCATCGCCAGGAGAGGAGACGACGCACGGCATACGCGAAGAAAAGGGAAAATAAAATAAATTGTTGCCTGTGTAGACTAGAAGTCCGCCAGACCAAGAAGCAGAAGGTTTATCTTCACGTGAACAAGACAAGCACTGCCCCTCAAAAACCGCAAGCTCGCTCCAGGCGAC